ATGACTTTCCCATTTTAAAGCATTTTTCCTCACTTCTAACACCTGAAAATTACCAGAAACTTCTCAAAGACTCTAATTTATTTTCAAATCTTATTGCTAAGCTGGATGATTATGATCTCATTCCTATTAACAAGGAAAGCCGATTCTTTAACAAGTTGGCCAGAAACACAGTAGACCCCAACTGTGGTCCTGAAAAATATGAAGAAATGGACCATGTGTTTTGTGTGCACAGCTCAATGGCTGGCACAGTTGGCACTCAGCAACTTGTGGTGCATGACAGAAACACAGGGCATTCATTGAGTCTTCACCTGACTTAAAAAGAAACAGGCTATTTTCATGGACAAGTATATTTTTCTTGGAATTCCCATACCCCCAAGACCTATTTTGTGGCATACACAAATCCTTTACCAGGGACTCAGGCTTCTAAACGAGCCTTTGTGTCTATAGATTGTGTCACTCCTAGCTGTGAGTCATCTCTTCTAAAGGGCTCAGGCACTGTCCCTCAGAGTCACTGTTTCTGACTTTCAGGCCATGCCCAGGAGGACAGCAGGTGGCAGTGCTGGGACATGGGTCTTTAACTGCCATCTCTCACGTGTGTCAGTGCCCACCTGTCCAAGGACAAATGTGCCTTCCCTCAATCCCTCAGCAAGCCTCTCCTCCCCCAGGACTCAGCCCTACCAATGACTGTGGGACCCAGGGATAAAGGGGCACCCACCTCATGAACCCTTGTTGAGAAAGCCCTGTCCTACAGGGTTGCAGTGGACTTGGATGCAGGAAGGGCCTGGCTTTGGGCAGGTGAGAGGTGCATAGGGTCCCCAAGGTGGCTATGCCCTCCGGATGCACTTTAGATCCCTCAGGAGGCAGATTCAGGATCCTCAGGTTGATGGACTCGGGGTTTCCTCACAGACCCTTCACCTCCTCCTTGATCCTGAGTCTTGCTGTGACTCTTCAGCATGTACCCTGCATGTAGTGAGTGAATTCTCTATCCTGGGTTCTGGTGCTGTTTTGTTCCATCCTGGGAGCACTGGCTCTCTGAGCTCTGTGTCATCACAGAAGTGCGTGCAATCTCCCACCTCCAAATCCTCACTGCACCTTGCAGTGTAAATGTCGTGTAAACCATAGCTGTGCTGTGTTGTTGGGTGACGAGGACCACAGAAGACAGCCCTGTCCATTCAGTGCCTGTCTAGGGAGCAGGCCTGCAGGGAACCCGGTGGAGGAGCCAGCACAGGGGAATACAAGATTTGCGCTTGGGAGCATCCTGGGTTTTGTGTGAAGCATTTCAGGTCAAAGTTGGCTGAACCCTCAGGCCCCACATCTGCAGGCGGGGAGAGCCAGCTATGTTAGGGAGGACACGTGGTTTCACAGCCAGGCACAACTTCTCTAAGAAGCTCACCTACTGAACTGCATTGATGCTTTTAATAGAAACTGCCACACTCACACCATGGGATAAACTCCACTGGGGAAAACACATACACACACATGCAGGCCCTTCGTGCAGAGCTTGCCTCCAGACCTGCAGCTTTGCATCTACTTATCTGACCAATGGCACAGCAGAAACATTAGAAAGTGGCTTATGCCTACAGGGAATGAATGAGTTGAACTTTTCTTGTCCACAACACGGCACAGCGTCTTGGCCACAGTGTTTACACCACGTCAGGCATGAGAGCACCCAGAGAGAAGTTAAGGTCTGGGGTGTAGGTGTGAGGCTTGGTGGCCCTGCAGGAGGACCACATGCCGTGCCCCATGTCCTCGTCACCGTTGTTACTTCCAGCTGCACCGTGGTCATGGAACTGGGCTATATAATAAATCAGATGTGTTGATTAGTAGTGGCTGATTTTCAAAGTACACCATTAGTGCTTAAAAATACACATCCTCTCCACTTGTTGAGTTGCATGCATTGTATACCTGGCAAGTCAAATGCTTTAAGTGGGTTACTGAAATCTGTCTCCGTGTTATTTTTCATTTCTTTCAATTTTTTATTTTTTGTAGAAAAGCACCTGGCCTGATTAAGTTTGTTTAAAGCATCCTATCATGACACTAATGCAGTTGTTTCCCCTGTCCTGCTGAGAGTTTTTCACCATGTAGCACATGTCCCATGTTTGTATTATGTGTCTTGAGTGCAACTTTCTTACATGAAAGTTCAGAACTGTCCTGTTTTATTTTCCTGGTGAAAATGAATCTTTCATCCTGTATAGTAACATTTTTTTACTTAGAGTTTGAATATTTTTCCTGAGGAGATAGCTATAGTATCTGTGTTCTGTTTAATAATCACCTGGAAAATCTTTTTCTGTCTTTTATTTTTATCCTTTTCATAGCTTTTTGTTTTGTCTTTTAAACAAGACACAACTAGATTTTTTTATTGGTTTACAATCCTTGTCTTTGTAGAGAATTTAGTCTACTTATTGCCTGGATTTACTAATGTTTCTAATTAATGTGCTATCTTATTCTGGTCTTCTTGTCTTGCCTTTTCTATTTATCTCTCTGTCTTCTGTCTTCTTTTAGGCTGGTTGCTTACCTCTTTATCATATGCATATATGATAAAATATATAGATGCTATACATATATTTATATTGCAGTATTGAGTATTGAACCCAGGGCTTTTGCACTGAGCTACATCACCAGCCTTTTTAGTTTTTAATTTTTAAATTTTGAGATAGTTGCTCAGACTGGGTTCAAACTTGTGATCCTCCTGCCTCAGCCTCCCACCTGCTGGGATTACAGGTGTGCACCACCATGCCTGACCGTATTTATTTTTGTTTCACTATCTACCCACTATAGTCAGCTTGGAATTTATACACTCAATGTATCTATTCTTTTAGTGTTTACTGTAAAATTTTAAGATCCACATTTAACTTAGATTTTCAATTTCTTAATCTTCCCTCAGAAGATAAAAAGGATCTTCAAACACTTTATTTAAATGCTATTATTATATTTTAGTTCCATCTCATGTTTAATCTCACAAAAATAATTATTGTTTCAGCTTTTTCTTAGTTTGCCTTCACATCTGTTGCTTCCATTGCTCATAATTGTTGCATCTTAGATCTCCCATCTGGGGTCATAATCCTTATTTCTGAAGTTTGTTAGGATCCTTTTATGTGTGTGTTGATTTTGATTGCCTGAAAATGTCTTTATTGTGCCTATTTCCCCTCCCACTCTTCTCCTCCAGCTCTTTTGATTTTGTTTTGCAGTGCTGGGGATGGAACTCAGAGGCTCGTGCATCTAGACAAGAGCCTACCGCTGAGGTACCTCCCACCTTCCCCATCAGTTTTGAAAATTCTTATCAGGTGTAGGACTCTATAGATTGATGGTTAATTTTTCTTAACACATTAAAATACTACAGTACTTTTGAGTTATTTTTTTACTATCAAGAATCTCATTCTTAGCTGGGTATGGTAGCATATACCAGTAAGCCCCGCACTCTGAGAGGCTGAGGCAGGAGAGTCACAGTTTGTGCCCACCCTGGGAAATTTAGTGAGATTCTGTCTTAAAAATAAAAGGCTCTAAGCACAATCTCTAGTACGGATAGTTACTGTTTAATGACTGTTTGGACTTAGAACCCGCTGCTCAGACTTGTGACCCATCCTTTTTTTGTGTGTGCAGTTGTACATCTTGTTTATAGCACCTCAATGTCTTTTTTGGTGTGGTACTCCTTGTTTATACAGTACTGTAACTTTTGCTGATTGTACTATACAGTATAATATGTAGTTTTATGTTGTTATTTCAGTCCTGCATGTAAGAGTTATGCAAATAAAAGCAACATCATCAAGTTGAAGATTCCTTTGACGATTTGTTATGAATGTTACAATGTTAGAATATACTGTATATAATTCCTTGCTTAGAGACCAATTCAGTTAATGACCTACTGGTAGCAATGGAACTCAGTTGTTAAACGAGAAATGTTTGTACTGCGAATGTTTTAAAAAGCACATTCTTAGTATAATTGTTTTCCGACTTGTGATGTCAGTGCCTTAATAATGTCACAATACTGTCGTGATCTCTTGCCTTTGGACTCTGTTGGGGGTGTGTGTACCTTCACATGCATGTGTGCACTCGTACTATATATATGTTCATTCTGATTAGACGTTGTTTGCCTCTAAATGTGAAGATTAGTGTTCGGAAAACTCGTTCCCCACCCTCTCACTTCTTCCAAACTCTCGATTTTATGCCGGATTTATCACTCTCTCATCCATGCTGTTTAACTTATCTTCCATTTCTTTTCCCATCTCTATTTCTTTTCTCTGGGTAATGAGTTCAGATCTACCTGAATAAACAGAAGTACTGCTTGGGGTTAGGGAAGAGGGTGTTCTGGCTGGGTCAGCCTCTCTCAGCTGAGCCCAAATACCTGCCACATAATATGCAGTAGGAGTGGCTTGTTTTGGCTTGAGGTTTCAGTGCTGAAACACCAGGCTGGTGGAGCAGAGCTGCTCACTGTGGGGAGGACAGGGGCAGCCTGCTGGGCCCCACCTACGACAGCACCTTGGGCCAGAAACACTGGAGGATTGGTCTGCTGATGAGTAGGGCAGCCTGGGATCTGCCACCTTTCAAAAAACAATCCAGCTGGGTTGACGTCAAGTTTAACAGATACCCAGGATGTGAATTATAGTCAACCTATTCAAGTCAGTCTCACTGATCTTTCATCTTCAGCTTTTTCCAATGTTTAAATGCGTTTGCCCCAAGCGTTTTGCTTCACATACTATTTCAATTCCACATGACTTGTAACAACACAGTTCAGCACTTTGCTGTGATTTATGCATTTAGATACAGCTTCTGATACCTCTTTGTAAAATGAAGAAACAGGACGCTTCCTACTTTTAAATTGTCATCGTTTATATTTTAATACTTGATATATTTGTGGCAGCCTTTATATGGGTGCTGGGATATGCAACCCAGGCCTCATACATGCTGGGAAAATGCTCCACCACTGAGCGATGCCCTGCTCTGGACTAAGGAGTTTAAACTTCTGTTTTTTTATTTACCCGCCTTTGACTATGACTCCCGACATGTGTCTGAGAGACGTGGAAATCGAAGCGCTTAGGCTTCACACATCCCTCCGTCTCCCTTGCTCCCTTCGGAGCTCTTTAGCCTTACCATTTCCGGGCGTGCTCGAGGTCTCCCACCATCTAAAGAAGACCGGAAGCAAGGTGGTGCTTGTCCCCCGCCTCAAGGTCCTGTGCAGGAGCAGGACGCGCCTCTTCTCACCTCTCCTTCTGAGCTGCTGCTCCAGCTCCATATGCGTGGATGTCTCACTATGCATGCTTTACAAGACGGGTTCAAGGGTGACAGCTTTCCCAAAACTTGTGTGTTGAAGGCTTCTGTTATCATCCTACTTAAATGAAAATCTGGATTTGTATGAAATTCTTAAGGTATCTTTTTCCCCCCCGAGGAATGTGTTACAGGTGTTTAAATGTTGCTGGGAGGTGTGTGAGGTTCACGGGTATTTTCCTCCTGTTTAACGCCGAGAACGAATCGTTTTTATGCTGTTCAATCCACAGTGGAATCGAGGCGGCCCTTATGTCCTTGAGTGTTTGCGGACCGAGGAGAGAGCAGAATGCGGTTCAGGGCGAGGGTGGCGCCGTCAGATCCAGGCCGCTACTTCTCAAAACCTGCCTGTCATGGTCACCAGGGACTCAGTGTCACCAACGAAGCTGCAGAACCTCGGCTTCCTTACTCGAGCACCTAAGGGTGAAGGGAGGGCAGGGGTAAGGAGAAAAAATGAGAACCAAGACCTGTCATTGAATGTAACTGTACTGTATCCTAAGAAAAGAAAAAAGAAAATCTGTGCTCCTCCACCCTCGTCAGAAAAAGCACGGGACTTCGGCTTCTCTGCGCACGCGCCCCCTTCGCCCCGCCCAATGCCCCGCCCCTCTGCACGCGGTCCTCTCCCCGGCCTTTTCTAGAGCTCTGTGGTCGGCGGACGGTTAAGTGCTGCTGGCTGGGTAAGGCTGGTTGGCTGTAGTTTAAATTTCTGACCTCCCTTCTCTACTCACCGGGCTTCTGTGCCCTGCGCCTTCTCTACCACCTCTGTGTCTCGTTAGAGTGCCCTTGGAGGCCAGAGACATTCATATTATTCATCTTCTCTCACTCGCGCTTGAACGCAGGGCCTTTGCACTGTGCAGCATCACTGCTGTTTATTTACATGTTATCTTGATATAGAGCTTCACCAGGTCACTAAATTGCCTAGGCTGGGCCAGTACTAACTTGAGATCCTCCTGCTTCAGCCTCCCAGAAAGCTAGGGTCACAGGCACAACGTCATGCTGTTCCCTGGCCCAGGGCACACCCACTCCCTGTCTGTGGTGTCCTGTGGATGGTGAAGTTGGTTCAGCAGCTGGATCTGTCAGTTCTGTGGATTCTCTAAGCGCTTTCCTTGGGGAAACCTGCCCATTAGTGTATAGTATAGTGGGAAGGGAACTTGCAGACCCTGTCGGAGAGGAGGGCAGGTGAGATGTAAGGAGGGGAATGGTCGTGGGTGGTCGCTTGGGTTTGGGAATCTGGTTGCTGGTAATCCCCTCTGTTTCTGAGAAGTTACAGTTTTTCATGGTAAGAAAATAATAGCTATACTTTTTATATCCAGTTTATAATAATGTACTTTATATATCCAGTTTTGTCATAGTTTTGTTATTAATAAAAGACGGGGACATTTATACCCATCAATTTGACAAAAAATAAAGAGATGGACAAGGAAGAAAGCAGTACAACACCAAGGTAAATATAAGATAGAATGCAATAAGATGCTAAGTTAAATTTCAACCAGGTAATCAGGGGTGGGTGACGACCCTGCAGACTTGGAGCCTGGGTCTCCTCAGGGTCCTCCTGACCTAGGCTGTGCCTCTTTCCCAAGAACAGCTTGGCACAAACCAACAATGAGAGGGAGGGTACATGGCCAGTGGGCTTGGGAGGCTGTATGTTTTCTGTTTCCAAGTTCCCTGGGGTCAGCCATGCCTCATCACCTGCAAGGGAGAGAACAGTACTCACAGCCCTAGCGCCAGAGGTGGAGCCCTGGGGCCAGGTGCAGGCAGCAAAGGAGCCCACGGGTGAAGTGTGTAAGGACAGCGTGAGCAGTCACATGCCCCTCCACATCTTACCTCCTGCCCCAAGACTGTATGGTGAGAATTAAGAAGCACTGAGGATTTCTTGAAGGACAGGGTCATGCACTGTGCTGGAATGTGCTGGCTGAGGAGGGGTCACAGCCATGGCTCATGTCACATCTGAGCCTGAGTCACATTCTGTGTCTTCACCTTGTCACCAGCTGGTTGGGGATTAGAAAGTCACCCTCAATATGTTTTGGCAGCCAAGGGCCTGATGAGCCCATGTGATGGGAAAAATAAAAGGGATCAAGGGAAACATCTGGGGGTGGCTGGAGGAGCCATCTGTGTTGCCTGAGCAAGAGAGAGGAGACTCTGAGTTCCAGCTGTGCATGCTTCCCACTGTCCTCAATCCAGGGTGGTGTCAGACACACCTGCTGGCTGCAGTCCCGAATCCTAGGACTCCAGTCAGTCCTGGGTTTGCTCCCTACTATCTTTGGTTTATGATGCATGTTATGGAAACATCCTGAAAACATAAGGGTTGCAATAGAGGAAAAGTAAAAAGATGAAAAATATATAACAGACATGATTATAGTATTGTTCAAGTCAATAGGGGATAGCAGTTCTAAACTTGTATAGGCCTATGTATTCGAGACACGTGGTGACTAAAGGAGAAGCCCAGAAATCTACCATGATAGTGAGAAATTTTAATAAATTGCTCACATTGAGTGAACGGCCAAGCACAAAAATAGTAAGAATGTGGAAAATTTGAACATTAAATTACTGTTTGTTTTAAAGCAGACAGATAAATACTTAGAGAGAGAGAGGACATTGTACCCAACAGCTCCAGGATATAGCTTCTCTGTTAGGGTATATGGAATATTTATAAAACTAGACCGTGAAGACTATAAAACAACAAAGTTTAAAAAACTGATATAGATCATATACTCTTTAGTTACATTAAAAACCAGTAACAAGATGTTAACCGAAAACTAATAGAATTTATAACAAAACTGGAAAACAGTTTTCTGAATAACTTGTGTAAACATGACTGGCGCCATCTTTTTCGCATGAATGCAAACATGGCCATTTTCCCCAGAATCATGGAATGAATTAAGTTTGTGAACCAAGGTACCACTGTACTAGAATTTTTAAAAAATGTAGCCAAAATGGATTACATAAGAAACAGGTGAGATGAACTTGAGGTCTTTGTTTTTGTTTTTGTTTTTTTTGTTTTTTTGTTTTTTTACTGGAATGGACCCCAGGACCCCAGATTTCCAGACAAGCATTCTACCAGTGGGCCGCACCTCAGTCCAAAGTGAGCTGCTATTAAGCCTGAAATGGCTGCGTTGGGTCTGTGAGTCACCACCCGCCCCTCCCACACATGAGGTCTACTCTAGAAAGTTATAAAATCTGATAATAGAAAACTCAATGAAGTTTATATAGAAAAACAAAGCTATGAATTTATGAAGTGCTCCTGGAGAAAAGGAAAGTATGATCACCTTGATCTATAGCTACTGAAACTTATTATAAAGCTACAGTAATTAAGGCAGTGCAATACAGAAACAAATAAAAATGAAGACCCTGCCCAGGGACAGACAACAGTGTGCATTTTGTTTTGAGATAGGCTTTCATTATGAGCCCAGTCTGGCCTGGAGCTTTTGGTGATCCTCCAGCCTCAGCCTCCCAAGGGCTAGAATAACAGGCGTGTGCCACCATGCCAAGCTAATTTTGAGTGCATCAGTCTTGGTATTGCAGGTGATGAGAGAGAATCTGGGGTGCTTCATACTACTTCTCAGACACCTATATATTCATATTGGGGTTGAGGGAGAAATTACACTGTACCTCAAAACCAAGGATTTAAGGACTTATGTGTAAATTAAAAAAACTGTGAAGGGCAAAAGTTTAAAACTATTAGGAAAACATAGCAGAGTCTTGAAGTAAGGAAAGCTGTCTTAAAAGAAAACATAAATGACACAAACCTTAAAGACAAAAAATTATATTAAAGAATTTCTCTTTACTAAGTCATTTAAAAAGCCAGGTATGGTGGTGTGGGCCTGTAATCCCAGCACTCTGGAAGGCTGAGGGAGGAGGATTGCAAATTTAAGTCCAGCCTGGGCAATTTAGCAACTTAGTGAGACTGTCTCAAAATTAAAGAAAAAACAAGTTGCAGGGAGGGCCGAGGATGTAGCTCAGTATGAAGGTCCTAGGTTAAATTCTTGGTACCAAATAAATAAATAATTAAAAGTCCAAACTGAAGATATGAAAGGCAAAGTATTCCTACCCAAAATGAATAAGTGACAATTCAGCACAAGAAAAGACTATGCAGGGCTGGGGACTTAGCTCAGTAGTTCTGCTGCCTGCCTCTCATGTGCAGGGTCCGGAGTTTGATCCCTGACACAAAAACAAATAAACAAACACACACCCCAAAAAGAATACTTTATGAGCTATCTATAAATTGATTCAAAGAAGTTTTGCCTCCTTATTCATATGATTAAGTATTTACTTTTTCTATAACAGCAGATACATTTTCCCCTGAGATGTACATTTAAGGCTTTGCGGAAACCTGAATCTCCAGTCTTACAAAAATAGTTTTTTACCAAATAAGTCAGTTGTAGGCAGTGATTACGGATTCTGTTCTTAAATTTTTCTGAACATGATAAGGTAGGCAGCTGGCTAATGTGCTGTGAAGATATTTTGATTTTAATCCTGATATGGTTCATGTTTTGTTTGTTTTGTTTTGTTTTTTTAAGGAGAACAGTATACGACTATTAAATTTTGGAAAACAACACTTTTCTCTGCCACTAGCTTAACTGGGTGTTTATTGTCAAAACTGAAATCAAGCTTTAAATTTTCAGTGACAATATTTGTTTTCTTATGCTAATGTTGCTTAAAAGAATAGATTTTGTAACAGTGTAAATAATCTTAAATTATAGAGAGTGCTGATCAAAGCATTTATTAAACCCCAAAGTTTCAATTATAAATGTGAAAATTTAGATACTATGCTAATAGTTCTCTATTTTACTGTTGGGAATTTTTACTCTTTTTTTTAAGAATTGTTTTCTTTGTCATCTTAGATTTTTAGACTACGAAGAGCAAAAACACGAAGATGTCACACCATGCAAGAATCAATCAGCTGAGGTAGCAGCAGAGCAAACCTCAAAATGTAAAACATTCCAGAAGCGCTGTGTATCCCAGAAGTCAGAGAAAACAGAAGAAATTTATCAAGATTACTATCCAGGCATGTTGACTCACATTTTCTTTTATAGAAATGGAAAAAACTTTTCATAGCCCTAAAGGAAGCAGGAGGAATAGATTAAAATACTGGAGTCTACTTCTAAAATACAAGGTTTGGCACTTAACTAATTTCACTTGTCATAGCGGTTAGCGGCAGTGTCTTCAGATTGGAGGGAACAGCAGGCTGCCACTGACACCGCGAAGGGCATCTGACCTCTTGCCCATCGGCCTTCACCTTGCTCTTCCAGGAAAGTCCATTTTGGTAAAGAGTCAGTGTGGCCCCGGGTTCCTGGCTGCTGTGGCCCCCTGGCCTCACCCACTCACTCCCCTGGCACCTCCTTCTGTGACATCTTCTCTGTCCCTCCCCCAGATCCCACTGTTTCCAGTTTTTTGTTGATTAAAAAAAAAAATCACAGCTTTCCTTTTAATCCAGCTTTCTTCTCCCCTCACTACTTGGTAATCCTGCCCTCTGCCCTGCCTGTCTTGGGGACCTCTGCTTCTCTCTGAAGGTTGGGAGTAATGATGGGGAGTTTGAGCGATGGCCACAGCCAGATTACTCAGGGAGACTGTGTGACACAAGATGAAAAGAGGGCTGAGGAACTATAGTCATCATGACCCAAGAGAAGGACAGCTGCAGAGGACATGGCCAGGATCATGCAGAATGGGGTGATGAGGAAGGGTTGGGTGTGTGCTGTCACAGAAGTCAAAGGAAAGTATTATATGGAAAGGAGTTATATGACGTACCAGATAACTCTGATATAGCAAGTAAAATCAGGATTGCAAAATGTCCATTGAATTCATTGACTTCAAGAATATGGTCCCTTGAGTGATAGTTTGTTGGAGTTCCAAGAGTGAAGTAGATTTAAAATGGATACTAGATTAAGAAATAAGAAAAAAGAAAGATAGTGACCATATGCAACTTTTTGAGAAGTTTATCCATGAGGAAAGGTCACATGGATAATATAACTGGAGAGAGTTGTGGTCAAAGAATGGATTTTACACAAGGTGGGAGTTGTACAGTCATACAAAAGAAAATATAATAATATGGGAATAGAGAGACAGGATCTCAACAAAAGATGTAGAATGTTGGTCTTGGATGAGAGGAAAACAGCCCCCTTTATAATTCAGGAGGACGGGGACATGGTGAGTGCAGATGTCGGTGGCTGGGTTTGTTTGGCCTTGGCAGGAGGAAGGATGGGGCGTGATGATGGTAACGACAGCAGCCACACCCAGAGTGACCGTGTTGCCAAGTCATTCTTTCCTCACAGTAATCTGAAATGAAACAGGAAGACCCATGTGGTAGGTGTGGCATGTGGTTGCTTGGCTGTGGTTGGTGGAGGTGGAGTAGAGCGTGGACCCCTGAGAAGTGGGGACTCAGGAACATGGAAGTTGTCCGAATGAGGAGTTTAAGGTGGAGCTGGAGCCCCAGACTGACTGAGTGCCCAGACTGTTGGTGTATATCAGGGAGGAATGGAACAAAAAGTCACAAGCCTCAAAGGAGGAGGATTGTATGTTATTTTTAAAGAGCACATGTTGTAATGAGTTGGAAGTGATGAATTGGAATGGGCAGAAACAGCTCACTTCCCAGCCTGGAGGTATGGGAGCATAGGACACAAACTGCCTTGGGAGGGACTGCGGGCCAGTGGTGTCCTTCAGGAATGATGAGGTTCCAGAGAGGAGGTGTGTGACACTGTTGGGAGAGAGGTTGACAGAGGACAGCTTCACAACAACCTAACCTGAGATTTCCACAGAAGCTCATATCTTCCCATTGTGATCTCCTGACTACCAATCCTGTTGTCTTTTTAAAGTCCCAGGCCTTAGCTTCCCCTACAGTTAAAACCCTCATCCCTGTCAACATTTGATTCGGGCTACTTGAGCTGTTATCATTTTGAAATATTTCTTTAAAAAATAGAAGCCTGTGTGAGTGAGGGTCTTTGATGCTTCAGAAGGAATAGCTTGATGATAAATCATGTAGTACCATCTTCCTCAAATTAGAACCTATTCTTTCGTTCCTGCACATCATTGGTGTGTGTGAAAGAGAGAGAGAGATGGAGAGAGAGAGAGATAGAGAGAGTCATAGAAAGCAAAGGAATGTGCCAGGCATACAGTCTCCACTTGCACACCTCACACTGATTCAGAGAGTGTGGACTGGAGGTGAGGCCCAGCAATCTGTACTTTACTAAGCTTTTAGATATTCTTGATACACAATGAAGAACCATGCCTCCAAACCAAGGGTCAGCCAACTTTGTTCTACAAAGGCTCAGATAAGTATTTTAGACTTTGTAGCCATATGATTTCTCTTGCAACTCCTCATCTCTGTAGATCAGTGAGTAACAACACTGTGTAAGAAATGGGTAGGGTGTGTTCCAATAAAACTTTATTTACAAAAATGGACACCTGGCTCAGGCTGTGGTTCAGTGGTCACTGTTCCAGACTGTTACCCTGAGGATAAATGGTATCTGGGTCTTTGCTCAAAGGCAGAATGATGTAAAGCACATGCACAGTAGAGTCAGATTCACATGGTTTTGAATCTCTGGGCACTCACTGCATCATCTTGGACAAGTTCAGACCCTTTTTGAGCTTTAGAGTCTTCATTCAGCCTTGAAATGGAGATGTAGTGGTTACCCTAGAGAGGCGTGAAGATGAAATGGGAATAGGCACGTTCCATGGACCAGGCCCACTGTGGGCACAGCATTTGAAGAAAAGCTCAGAGCAAAGTAACAGCTGTGCATAGCAGTCTGGACTCTCAGGTAAGGTGTGTTTTGTTTCTGTTTGAAAAGGGATTGGAAATGTGGAAGAAAAACATTTGTTTTAATTGAAAAAGAGTAATTTAAAGAGTATATTATGCTTCTGTAATTGAATTTTAATTACACGTGTGGCCCATTTAAAATCCTTGTAGCGACCTCAATTTCTGGTAGCCTCACAGTGTGAAAAATAACTGAGAACAAAAATTTGTCAAGGGAGCTGGGTGTGGTGGCGCACGCCAGTAATTCCTGCACTCGGGAGGCTGAGGCAGGATCGCTGTGAGTTCGAGACCAACCTGGGCTACATAGTGAGTTCCAGATCAGTCTCTACTACATAGTGAGACCCTTCTCAAAAAACAAACAAACTAACTAACAAACTAAAAAAATTGTCAAGGGGCCAAGTAAGTGCAACAAAACCCATGCCCTTGTTTCCTCTTATTTGTCAAGCTCCTCACTGAAACCTCTCCCCACAGTCTAAAGTACTTTGTGTTACATCACAGTACAACAGGATTCCTGAGCTTCTCATTCTCCACAGAGTAGAACCAGTCTGTGAGTCTTGTGGCCTTTGTACGGTATCTACTTTTATACTTGTTTCTTCACCAGAGTCTGCCTTTTCTTCTGAGCTGCTGCTAACTGCTGGGGACTAGGAGAAGAGATAAATTATATGTGTACAGTGTGTGCAATGCTGGGGACCAAACCCAGGGCAAGCACTTCTACCCCTGAGCTACACTCCCAGCCCCAGATAAATATTTTAAATTGCTTCATTTAATATGATAAATATGTAAAATAGGACCCAAGGAGCTCTTTGATAAGGGAAGTACATGGGATTTTGTGACAGACAAGTTAGGCATTTCTTGAACAGGATTCATCATGTACCTATTCTGTTTCACTCTTACAAACACTGGCAATGTCCCTGTAGCACTTGCATTCAAAGGCGGTTGATAAAAAGTAACTGAATGCACAAGATAATCTCAGACAGTGCAAGGTCCAGAAAGATAATGAACTGTGAACAGAACGGATGCAGTATGTGTTGGTTCTCACACGGGCAGTAGATGAGGCGTGAGGGCAGAGACCTGAACAGAAGGCAGGATGAGTCTGTGTGTATTCCAGAACGGCAGTGGAGTGTGGAGAGCTGGTGGGAGCTGAACTGGCTGCTCCGTGTCTAGACCCGTGTCGCTGCGGTGGCTGTGGCTGAACGACCGCTGGGAGATGTTACTGACCAAGCCCTGTGTCAGGTTGTGGTTGTGAGGCCAGAGAGGCTGTCAGTCCTGGGCGATCCGCCTCAGGTACTGTCCCAAGTAGTAATTTCTGTGTCTGCTTATTTAAAGCCGTCGCAGCTGGGCTTCGCAGTGTTTTCCTGGCTTTGTAATAAACCCTTAGGGTCTGTTCTGCTTTGGAGTTTTCATGTATTAAACTTTTGAAACCTAGTCAGAACTGGGACAAGCACTGTCATTTTACATGACATTTGTCTTCATAAGTCCATGGTCAGAAAGATTCGTTTACTCCCTCCCCACTTTCCTCCCTTTCTTTGCTTGCTATTACTTGTTGAGGTGGGCTGGTGGACATGCTAAGCACAGCCCTTTTCTCTCTTCACGTTGAGAAAAATTTAAATTGAAGTTTAATCTTAAACTTGTAAATTTGATTGTTAGAATTTATTTTAACAGATTGTGTAGTTTTTGATCTGTACTATTATAAAATACATTTTAAATAGAATAATAAGACAAACATGAGATGGTAACAAGTTAGACCAGCAGCCCTGAGAGGACTTGTGAGGACACAGGGTGTCAACCTGACTATCCCCTCTCTTTGTGTCCCTGGACTACCCTGGTCTTCTGGGGTCCTGGCCACAGCAACACCAGGGCTGGCCAAGTGTGGATCAGGCTGGGCTCCATGCAGGCATGGCCCACAGAGGGCACAGCCTGGGGTCACTGGGGGCTTGGGACATCTGTTCCCTGTGCGAAAGGGAAACTTTTCAGGTCTTCAGATTTTTGGGGTTTTAAAAAATTACACATGCACCTACTTTTTCATAACTGTAACATCAAAATGATATATGTCATCTTAATTTTTTACTTACCACTACTCAGAGATTTAATTAAAATATACATCTTCATTATCACTGAAAATTGAGTTTGAATTCTTCTTGATATGAGGCACTTTTCAAAGTAGCAAGCCAAATAATATACAAAGGAATTGACATATTTCTGTAATTGAATATTTATTGGGATGTTGAAGCTAAGAGAATCTTGTATCAACAATAATTTTAATGGCTTCCTCTTACCTTTTGATTTGTACTTTGTTGACAGATTAGGAGGAAATATTTGAGGTTTAATGTTTGGGTAACAGAGTGAATGAAACATTGTTTTGGGGAATTTTAAAAAAATATTACTAAGCTTTGACTATATTTTTTCCTACATAAATATAAGAAGTGTTTTTTCTTTTCAGAATTAATAAAGCCTTTGTGACCTGGAAATTGAATGTTAAAAGAATTAAGACAGAGAAGAGCAGGTAAGTCTTGATATGCGATGTGTTTCCAAAATATTCAGAAACAAAATACATCTTAAATACGTACAAGAGAGCATCCACCCTGATGGCAGTGCGAGGAGAGCTCCTAGCCAGCCCGGCAGTTTGGTTCCACTCACCACAGTGCCCCACACTGGATGCATTTCAGCTTGGACAGTTGTCATGGTCTGGGGTTTCTTGTGGAGGGGCCTGTGGAGCAGGGGCTTCACCCCACAGACCTGAAGACTTCAAGGCTGGGTGGAAAGGACCATGGTTTCCTGGATTCCAAGATTGCAGGTCTTAGAAGGAAACCACTGATTTAGGAATACAGATACAATATTTATTATTTTCCTTCTGTTTTTTTTTATTTTTTTAATCGGAATTCCCATCCTTCCCTTCCCCCTACCCACTCCCTTTCCCCCCTCCTATTTGAACATTTTCTTTCTATACCTAGCAGAGGAATAGCTGGGTCATGTGGAATTTCTAATTTCAATTCTTTTAGAAATCTCCATATCAATTTCCATGATGGTTGTACTAGTTTGTATTCCCATCAACAATACAGAAGAGCTCCTTTTTTCACCATAGCCAATTTGTTGTTTGATTTCCTAATGATTGACATTCTTTTTGGGTAAAATGGAATTTTAGCATTGTTTTAATTTGCATTTTTCTAGTGGCCAGAGATGTTGAACATTTTTTCATATGTTTGTTAATGACTTGTATTTTTTTCTCTGTGAAGTGTCTATTCATTTCTCTATCCCATTTCTTGCCTGTGTCTTTTAATTCTAGGTTTAATATTTTGAGTTCTTTGTATATTGTAGATATTAATCCTCTAAGGAGTAGCTGGCACAAAAGTTTTCCCCATTCTGTGAGTTTTCTCTTGACTCAATTCTTTTGCAGTACAGAAGCTTTTTAGTCTGATATAATCCCATTTGTTGATTCTTGCTACTATTTCTTGTGTGATTGAGGTTCTGTTTAGAAAATTCCTTCTTACATCTATGTCTTCAAGTGTTTTTACCTATTTTATTTTCCGGAAGGTTTAATGTTTCTCTGTTTTAATGTTTAGATCTTTGATCTGTTTGGTTTTAATTTAGCACATGGTGAGAGATAGGATCCAGTTTCATTCTTCTACAAACACATAACTAGTTTTCCCAACATCAGTTGTTGAATAGACTATCTTTCCTCCAACATATGCTTCTTGACCCTTTGTCACAGATCAAATAGTTCATTGTGTCTGGGGAGATTTCTGTGTCCTCTCTTCTGTTCTGTTGAGCCATGTGTCTGTTTTAGTTCTATGTCATTTTCATCACTATTGCTTTGGAAAGCTTGAAGTCTGGTATTGCTGTGCCACCTGGTTTGCTCTTATTGCCTAAAGTTACTTTTGTTATTTGGGGTCTCATCTGGTTATGAATTTTAAGATTGTTTTCTCTAGATCTGTAAAGTATACTATTGATATTTTGATTGGGACTGCATTGAATCTGCATAAAACTTTTGGACGTATGGCCATTATGACAATATTGGTTCTGCCTATTCATCAGCAAGGGGCATTTTTCCATTTTCTGAAGTTCTCTTCAATCTCATTTTTCAGAGTATTGTAGTTTTCTTCACAGTGGTCCTTCACTTTTTTGTGTAGAATAGTTCCTAGATACTTTATTTAGTCATTGAAATATCCAGAACAATTAGGCAACAGAAAGAAAGAAAAGAGACACATACAGGAAAGGAAGAACTCAAATTATCATTATTTGCAGATGACATGATCCTCTACATAGAAGGCCCAAGAACACCATCAAAAACTCTTAGAATTAATAAACAGTTTCAGCAGAGTAGCAAGACACAAGATCAACCAGAAGTCATTAGCATTTGTGCATACCAACGATGAAAAGGGTGAGAAGGAAATTCTGAAAGCAGTACCATTCACAGTCACTTCTTTTGAATTCTGGTATTTCACCTGCTTTGGTATAATTAGAGTCAGTTACCTTTGAAGTATTTACTTTTGGAGAAGTCACGCTGCCTTGCTTTCTCATGTTTCTTGTGTTTCTATATTGAGATGTATGCATCTGCTGCGTTGTCTATCTCTTCTGCTTTTTGTTTTGTTTTGTTTTGGTATCAGGGATTGAACTTGGGTCCTTGTGCTTGCAAGGCAGGCCACCGAACCGCTGAGCTAAATCCCCGGCCCTATCTCTTCTGCTTTTATACAAAGGTCTTTTTAAGGACAGTGTTGCCTTGATGACGTGTTTAGGATATCAGATTGTGAAGTGTTGATTGTATTTCCAAGTGGGCTTCGTAGTATAGTTTTCCAGTTACTACTTTGGTGGTGATTAGGTTACACTGACATAGTATGTTCAGTGTCATCGGAGGATCCCACTTTCTTTGTAAGTTTCACAAAAATGGAGTCCTTCTATTGGCTCAGGAAATTGTATTGTGAACTGCAGAGTTTGTACACCTGTGATAACTCCTTTTATCTTGTCAACAGTGTATGTTCTTGAAGTGAGAGTGATCTACGAGGCCCCTTGTAGGTACATTGTCCATGGTCTTTGTTATTTTCCCCGCTTTGGCTGTAGGGGTAAATTTCCAGGAGCAGATCTTTAGATCTCCTAGCCATGGTTACCTCTGGGCTGGTTGTTGGCTGGGCATTTTCATCTCTACTATTCTTTGAATTAAAATGTTCACAAAAGATTGAACATGCTTGGGCTATGTGTGGAGTAAGGTTCATTGCTTCTTATCGGCACTAAGATTGTAGCTCATTTTCATAGTGTTTATCCAAAGTGCTCAGAGGGTCATGCTTGATCTCCAGTACCCTGTAGAAAGTTGGTAATAATTGACAGTAACAACAGTGAATAGCAGTGAACCAGATTGGTAACCCAGTTGGGTTAAAACCAAGTACCAACCATGACATCCGCTGTCCTAACAACCACTTCAAGCATGGTAGCAGCAAAAATAATATAGTTTTAAAACTAAAAGGTTTTAAAAGATGATTTGAATACAACTAATTAGGAGAAGAGAAAATGGGAGGAGAAAAGCAAAAGAAAAGTTAGAATATCCAAAAGTGAAAGGTGAGAAAGCAGAAGAAAGGTGAAAGATAAAGTAAAAAAGGAAATGAGTGGGGGCCACAGCAAGTTCCCTGCATGATCCACTGCCCATGGTGAGGTCTCTCCATGGCTTTGTTCCTCTACACAGTCACCCAGTCTGCTGCCACTCCAGACCCACTTCTTCTAGCTGCTGAAGTTGCCAATCCCAAATGGCCAAGAAGATCCTCTCCTCTCATAAATCTGACTCAAATCTCATGTGCTCTTGTTTCGGTGATGTTACATTGGGACATGCAAGCTAGAACAGCATCTCTGTTATGACTTGAGGGAAAAGGATAATGCAGGGGCTATATTTTCCTAAACATCCATCTCAGGCATAACCTTCAGATGCCACTGCTTCCTGCTTAAGTGTTGAGAAATGCCAAACAATTCTCAAGTACCCACCCAGTGTGTAGCTCCCAGATCAGCTGAATTCATACTGCTTATTTTGCTCTAGATCTGTTTTGTGTCCATTTTTGTTCACTCTGTCCCTCTGTATATTACCTCTCTCCACTTCTATATTGCTACATTGCTGCTGGCATGGGCACAGAACAAATGTGAAACATAGCTTCTAGCCTCTGAGTCTCTGGTTCTTTCCAAATCTCTGTCTTTGCAATTTGGATTTTAGTGCATTCCTTCCCTTACCCATCTTGCTGAGCAGTTAATCTCTTGCTGTCTTGATTCCAAGTCCTGGAAAGGCTGGAAACTACTGCCTGCTTCTAATTTACCACATTGGCCCCTCTCTCTTTATTGCTATTGAGTTTTGAGAGATATTTTAGTATTCTAGTTATGTGTCATATGTTGTTTATTAATATTATTTCTTGGTCTTTGACTTGTCTCTTTTGATTTTGTTTTTAATGCAAGAATTTTTCTTTGGCATCTATTACATGCCAGGCAATAGGCCAGCAGTTAACTTGCTCTTTGAAACTGTAAACTCATTGGCCTCAAAGCTTCACTGGCCCAGGCAGGCTTTAATTTGGCACCCATCCCTGTTTTGTTGCAGAACTGGCTGGTGGAAAGGGGTAGGGATGAAGTGGGGCAGGGAGTAGAAAGAAAAGAGGGTTGCTGCTGGCCATACATCATGCGAATCACGTGTACCTTGCCTTCTCATTCCCTTGACATGGTCTTTTGCAGAGTGAAAGTTTTGAAGTTTAATGAAGTACAGTTTAGCAGTTTTTCTTCTTACGGAATCATGCTTTTTGTTTGAAGTCTAAGGACTCTTTGGTTACCCATACTGTTTTGGAATTCAACCCTGAATTCCAAATATTTTCTGCTGTTTTATTCTAAACCTTTCTACTTCAATGCTTTGCATGTTTCACTTTGAATTCCTTTTGGTATGAAGTGTGAGAATTAGGGGAAGCCTCACTTTTTGGCCTAAGGATGTTTAATTGATCCTGCACCATTTGTTGAAAGGCTCTCTTGGTTCCAGTGAATTGCTTTTGCACATTGCTTCCTTCCTTGGTATTTCGAATTGGGACTCAATGTTGTAACAAAAACATCACTTGCCTATCCACATTCAACACAGCCAATGTCCCTAACCATGCCTACAACATTATCAACTAAATATAACTAACCACCATTATCATTTAAACCGTGACTAATGCAATACATTTTAATTACAGGCATATGACCTAAACTATGCTAGTTACCTCTGAATTCTTTTTCTTGGTTTTTTTTTTTTTTTTTTTTTTTTTGTGTGTGTGTGTGTGGTACTGGGAATTGAACTCAGGTTCTTGTGCTTGCAAGATAGGCCATCGAACTGCTGAGCTAAATCCCCAGCCCCCTGAGTTCTTTTTTTAATGTGATACACGCATGTGGAAATGTTTAACTTTCAGGTCATTTTTACATAGTCATCTCTTTTGGGCTGATGAGTTACTTCAATCCTGTTTGCTTTATATAAGAGGACTCTGTGAAGATGCCATTAATATCAACAGTGATAATGAACATGTGAATAATCCATCTGCTATATGTCTTGTGAAGGTAGGCGGGGTTACATTCTACTAACTAATGCTCGTATGTAGAAACCTGTTGAAATAAAAGAATATAGACCTCTGGCTCCACGTGGGAATGCTCACTATAAACAGCTGATGCTTTGAAATTGCTGCTCAGAATGCTATTTTGGAAGTCGATTTTAATAGTTTACAACATTCCTTAAAAAATAATTTCTATTTGATCTAATTCTGTAAGATTATTTTCAACATGTCTCAAATATGCAATATTAGTTGTAAATAATTATCTGTAGTGTATTATTAGTAGTTACCCGCTATTTCCTCAGTGTAGCATGTCAAGACTTATAAGTAGAAACTCAGAGATTTTTGTTGAATTTATTAATTTACCTTTTGGAATATTCTAGAAACAGTGAGCATCTTCACTGAATGACTTAGTTAAATTTGTATGCAATAACCTTTCTGAAAGAATAAATCTTAAGTGTTTAGCGTATAGTTATAGCAGATTCCAGCAGATTTTACTTCACTGATCCAATGTGTGAAGAAGACACTGAAAATTAAGATTGATAAGGTCAGTTAGACTTAGAAAGAGAGATAGAAAGGGGCTTAGGCAAGTTATGAATTTGACAGCTCATATGTTACTAAGAGCAGCACTTGTAAATTAACATCTTATTTTTAGAATCCATTATGTATAGTGATTTTTCATTATCTGAGTAGGTAAATAAAAGAACTAATGAAGTAGGATGAATTAATCAGTACAGATGAAGTATATTTATATAGCTATATTGAGAATATTAATATTTCAATTTAAGCAAGAGACATTGTCCCTATGGAGTACTTTTGATATGCTTTTCATGTAGAAGTAAATAAGTTGGGCATCTATATTAGATTGTTTTATGAGGCTGACATGTATGTGTCCCTTCTTTTTTTTTTTTTCATTTCTGGTATCTTGAAATTATCATCCAGTGCTTCTTCCACGTGTTCTTTTTTTAAAATTTGGTCCCTTCTTGATGAGTGGGAAGACAAAGGAAATTGTAGAAAGTCTCTGTGTCTGTGTCAAAGCTGCTAATGGATGTAATGTCAGCGGTGAAGGAGGAGGAATGTTAGGGCTGTACTGGAGACCTCAGGCCCAGGACATCCAGACAGAGAATGAACTTCGTCAGCCAATATATAATTATTTGTTGAATTTCTATTATATGCAAACTGTTGTGTGAAGGAAATGAATACCAAAAAAAACTGATGTTGTCAATCTGCTTATAATGTATCAGAAAAAATAGTTCCTTATATGTAGAAGTGAGAAACCCTAGAAGTAGTTCCTTGCTTTGGAAATTATTTTAGCTAGTGAATTAGGAAAATATAAGCCAAAGGATATTTACTATCAGTGTCACTATTAAAACTGCAGCCATGCTACAGAAATTCAGAGGCAGCAAGATTTCTCCTTATTGGGGTTAGTTATGGCAGCTTCCTGCTAATAGGTCATCTTGGTTTGACTAGCCAGAGAGGTAAGGAGGGAAAAGGAAGTTAAGTAAGAAATTTAAATGTGGATAAGCAATTGAATAAATTTGGTCTGAAGGCAGGTTGGGTCATCAATGGCAAGCCAAAAATAACAATAAGGGGAAACAGGATGGGAACCTCCCCGAGGGTTGGGCACGCCTGTGGGGCTGTGAGGACAGCAGTGGCAGGACCAGGAGTCTCTAAGACTGGCAGGGGGTGGGGGCAGGCTCAGCTGGAGGGCCAACAGATTCCTACCTCAGAGGTGGCAGAATGCACTGGTCCTGGAAAGCTTACATGAACAAGGTGCAGACTCCCAGGAAGACTGGCCATGAAGAGCCGAGGAGGAGGTAGCCACGTTGTAGGATGGGAATCCCAAAGGCTCTGCCTGGGACCCATACCAAGGCCTTCAGTCCATACTCTTCCCTGCCACTGTCTGAACTGAGTTCTGGAGGAGCCATCACTCATGCACGTGCATGAGACGGACTGAATAATGTCTCTTCTTTAAGAGTGAACAGTTGGTTTTACTGGGAAGTATTTTGAGTCTTGGTGAAAATGTGGATATGTGTGTTCTACCCCTTTCCCCGGAGAAGGCAGTAAGTGGTGCTGGTCGTCTATTCAATTTGCAAGTCTCTCCTGTGATTCTTAGGAAAATCCTGAGAACTGCTCCTAAGGAAACAAGACTAAGCATGGCATTTGAGGAAAAATACTGTGACGCTCCTTGATGGAAAAACGTTTTAAGTGGAGAGATATTGGGGCTAAAGAATTAAACACTAAACACAAACATAACAAATATGACCTTCAACTAGGACCTTAGCCTTGAGAACAGAGAGGAAGAAAGATTTCTGAGACATTTCCCACAGGCACGCTGAGGATCTAGGGGTGAGCCATGAGCCCAGAAGAGGGAGGGCTCCGAGAGCAACACCAAATGCAGGGCTGGAGCAGTGCTCTCTACTCTTTCTGCTTGGAGTTTGAGCACAGGTTGATGGGATGTTACAGTGCATCTGAGGATAAAGCAGCCTGCATGTGTATTGATGAAAATGTGCTGTGCTAAGAAAATGAGCACAGTGTAGGAAAATAAGAAAGTGCTGCAAGGAAGAAGGACGGCATGCACGCCGGCCCACGCGGAACATTCTGCTTATGCTCAGGCCGTGGAGAATGGGTGCTATGGCTGTGGAAATGTCGCCTGCTGGTGTCTGGGAAAATGCTGACTAAAATGTGCCTTATTTCTATCATTTAACTTTAACCTCTTTGTCCTGTATTTCATATCATGTTTGTAACAAATAATTGGGAGCTCAAAAGAGTGATTTCTGGAATTGGCATGTTCCATACATTCACAGATATTTAAAAAAGCACCTTAACTTTTGAATTTTTCTGTCTCAGATAACCTTAAAATAATTATTTTTAGCCAATGTTTAGATTTAACTGTGAATGTTGAGCTTAAATTTGAAGAAAATATAAAGACTTAGAGCATAAAGCACATAAAGCAGAAATTATAAAACATGCTCTCCTTTATGATTTGAAAGGTTGCATAAATATCTTCTTTCTTTTGTTGTTGTTGTTGTTAATGAATTTTGCTTTCCAGCACTAAACATTTGCTATTATTTAATTAGCTCGATAGAGCTCGAACATATTCCCTAGATGAATTTTGCGAGGAACAGTTACAGCAAACTACTCAGGCACTGAAGCAACTTGAGGATATCAGGGATAAAGCAATTTCAGAGATAAAAAGTACACTCTTCTTAATTCTTGAATTATATTCTCATGGTTGCCATGTACAGACTGAAGCAATTGCTCCAGACTTCATGCCTGGAAATAAATGTTGAAAATGGGCGGTGGGGGACAAAGGTGGCTAACTAACCAACTTCCTAGTACCACCTGCTTACTATGTGCAGGAATTTCTCCAAGTACAACATAAAATGGAAAAATGCTGGAAACTTAATTTGAACTGGTATATAAAGGGAAATGTGATCAGTTAAAAGTTCACGGTGCTTATAAAGTAATCAAAAACCCCTTGCTTAGGAGAAATACAACTAGATGAAACAAAATTCACCAAATTTTATAAAGAAGATTCACTAAGATAATGAACATCGTTCTCAAACATTTTTACCCTATTTGCTGTTGCAGAAAGCCCTTGTATGTAAGAACACATAGTACTTGGTAGTATGTCCTTCCTTGTTTGACTTCTAAAACTTATCAAACTTCATTAACTTCAGGACACATAAATTGCTCTCTTTTTGTCTGATGTTTGAATACAATATAAGCAGGAAGTAAAATTTTAGTGGAATTTATTGATAAAGTTTGCTTCAGGCTAAAGCGATACTGTATTGACCCTGGCAATCAGCATGTTCCTCTGTTGTTTCTTAAATTGTAGGTTGCAGAAAAGAAAGACAGTAAAGAATATTTTGAGTCAAAGCTGCCTGAAGATGACACAATGCATTTCAAGCTGCCTAAATATCGGTGTTTTTTAGAAATAATTGCCAGGTTTCTCATGCTAGTTGACTACATGTTTCAAGAACTCATCCGTCAGCTAATGAACACTGCAGTCACACTACTTTTGGAGTTACTCAGTGGTTCTGCAAGCATGCCATTTTCAATGGAAAAGAAGAATGAAAATTTTATCAGGTAAATCACTCTTTTTACTATTAGGAGGAATTTATGATCATAATTTCATAATGTATTGCCACTTGTGGAGGAAGTGTCCAATAGTTCTCCTTGTAGCAGAGTATTTGCATTTATTTTTGCAATGATATGAACTTATTACTTAGTACTTTAATATTGTCTATAAAATTTAAGAAAATTTCCCAGTTTTTTCCTCACAATTCTACATAGATGTGGTTACCATATAAAATACAAGATGTTCACTAGAATTTGAATTTCAGATAGACAGTAATTTTTGTATGTAAATATGTCCCAGTTATTAAAACTGTGTGTGTGTGCGTGTGTGCGCATACGTGTTAAATACAGCTTTAAAAAGATACTGGAGATATTGGCAGAGTTAATTCATGTCATGGAAATTTTTGAAAGAAAAGTCACCCTTAATTGTATCACTTAAATACAATGTCCTATCATTTTTGTATGATTTCTTGTAGACATTTCCTTTACATTTTTCTAGCATCATAATCCTAGTGCACTATTTTGCAGCTCATTTTTAGATGTGTCATATCTTTTGTGTATTTTTTTCTTGGTATGGTGGAGTGTGTAAGTTGTGCTTCAAATGATTCCGAGTGTGGGTCAGACCCCCTAGGTTCTAATCTCTGTTTTGTCTCTGCTTTGTTGTGTGACTTAGGGTAGATGTTAACCTACTAGAGGTAGGTTTCCTCATCTGTAAAACGGAGAAAACAATAACTCTCATGTCATGGTGATGAGAATAAACACAGAATAAATACCTGATAGGTAATAGCTAAGATTTTATAACATTAGCTCTTACATTTAACTTTGACATTTAAAAAAATTTCTTCTTAATTTTTATTAGTACGTGTTTTTATACATTATACTCGTGTTCATTTGGAAAATTGCTACTTACATATAAAATATCTTGCTCATTTTCAGTACTGTTACCTTCTTCTTGCTTTCCTTCCCAATTCTCTTCATCCTTTTCTCTGTCTCCAAGAGTCCACCTTCTTTTTCTTCTATCTTATTTATTTATTTACTTAATTATTTATATTTTAGGTTTCTCATATAACAGAAAACATTGCAATATTTAGCTTTCTGAGTCTGCCTTATTAGCTTAACATAACGGTCCCGAGTGCCATCCATTTAACTACAAATAGCATCATTTCATTTTTCATTATGGCTGAATAATATTTCATTGTGTATATGTATTACATTTTCTTGGCTGTTTCCAGAGCTTGGCTGTAGTAAATTATGCTGCTATAAAATGGCTATGCAAGTATCACCACAGCATAATATATTTAATTCTTTTTGGAATATATCAAAGAGAGATATAGATGGGTCAAACAGCATTTCTGATTTTAGTTATTTGAGGAGTCTCTATTAATTTCCATAGTGGTTTTACTAGTTTACAGTCTTATAAACAATGTAGCCAGGGTTCCTTTTTTCCCCTACATCTTTGCCAGAATTCGCTGCTTTCTGTGTTCCTGATGATAGTCATTTGGCTGGGGTGAGATGGAATCTCAGTGTAATTTTGATTTATGGTTCCCTAATGGCCAAAGATGTTGAATATTTAAAAAATATATTGGTCACTTTACTTCTTCTTTTGAGAAGCCTATATATTCAGTTCATTTGCCCATTTTTGATTGAGTTATTTGGGATTTAGGGGGAAGTATTTTTTTGTTGTTGTTCTTTATACATTCTTGGCATTAGTCCTTTATCAAAAAATGTCCTTGATCCTTTATATTTTTATTCAGAATTCCTTTATCAAAAGAGTAGCTAACAAAAATTTTTCTTCCATCCTGTAGGTTGTCTCTTCACTCTGCTTATTGTTCCTTTGATATGGAAAATCTTTGTAATTTAATGTAGTTCCATTTGTTGATTCTTGCTATTATTGTTTGAGTTATTGTAGTTCTTTTCAGGAAATCTTTACCTGTGCAAAGTCTTCACATTTCCCCTGTATTATCTTACAGCAGTTTCAAACTTTCTGTTTTTATATCTAGGCCTTTGATTTGTCTTCATTTAATTTTAGTACAGGACAAGACCTAGGGTTCTGGTTTCAACCTTTTGCAAGTGTATTCTTATAAGTTTGTTTTTGGTCCTTTGCCAAAATAGGATGATTGTAGGTACCTGGTATTGTTTCTGACTTCTTTTCTATTGAATCAGTCTACATATCTGTTTTTTGTGCAAGTTCCATGTTTTGTTACTATAGATTTGTAGTATAACTGGAAATCCAGTACAGTGGTACCTCACTTCATGAACTTAGTTCATTCCATGATTGTGGAAAAGATAACCATGTTTGAGTTATTATGGGAAAGATGGCTGCAGTCATGTTCATCACCTGACATGGAGTTCTTAAACAGAAAATATTTTGCTAAGTGTTGATTAGCCAAAGCACCATGTATTGTGATTGTTTTATATTTGTTTTTGCTTAGGAATGCTTTTGACTATTCTGAGCCCTTTCTGGTTCCATGTGAATTTTAGAATTGTTTTTTTAATTCTGTGAATAATGTTGTAAGTACTTTCACAGGGGTTACATTGAATCTATAGATTGGTTTTGGTAATATGATCATTTTCACAGTATTAGTTGTTCTGAGCCAACAATAAGGGATGTCTTCTCATTTTCTAATGGCTTCTTCAATTTTTTATTCAGAATTCTGTAATTTTCATTATAGAGTCCCTTCAACTCCTTAATTAGGTTGATTCCTATATCTTTAATTTTTTTGAAGCTATTTTGAGAACTGTTCCTGCTTTCTTTCTTAGTGGATTCATTTTTTTATTCAATTATTGATTTTTTATTTTGGGTTCATTATTGATGTACAGGTACACTATTGATTTTTGTGTGCTGATTTTATATACTGACACTTTGAGGAAGTTTACTAGTTGTAAGAGTTTTCTGGTGGAGATTTTGGGTCTTCTATATAAAGGATCATGCCATCTGCAAAGAGATAGTTTGACTTCTCTAGGGTTCTGGTTTCAACCTTTTGCAAGTGTATTCTTATAAGTTTGTTTTTGGTCCTTTGCCAAAATAGGATGATTGTAGGTACCTGGTATTGTTTCTGACTTCTTTTCTATTGAATCAGTCTACATATCTGTTTTTTGTGCAAGTTCCATGTTTTGTTACTATAGATTTGTAGTATAACTGGAAATCCAGTACAGTGGTACCTCACTTCATGAACTTAGTTCATTCCATGATTGTGGAAAAGATAACCATGTTTGAGTTATTATGGGAAAGATGGCTGCAGTCATGTTCATCACCTGACATGGAGTTCTTAAACAGAAAATATTTTGCTAAGTGTTGATTAGCCAAAGCACCATGTATTGTGATTGTTTTATATTTGTTTTTGCTTAGGAATGCTTTTGACTATTCTGAGCCCTTTCTGGTTCCATGTGAATTTTAGAATTGTTTTTTTAATTCTGTGAATAATGTTGTAAGTACTTTCACAGGGGTTACATTGAATCTATAGATTGGTTTTGGTAATATGATCATTTTCACAGTATTAGTTGTTCTGAGCCAACAATAAGGGATGTCTTCTCATTTTCTAATGGCTTCTTCAATTTTTTATTCAGAATTCTGTAATTTTCATTATAGAGTCCCTTCAACTCCTTAATTAGGTTGATTCCTATATCTTTAATTTTTTTGAAGCTATTTTGAGAACTGTTCCTGCTTTCTTTCTTAGTGGATTCATTTTTTTATTCAATTATTGATTTTTTATTTTGGGTTCATTATTGATGTACAGGTACACTATTGATTTTTGTGTGCTGATTTTATATACTGACACTTTGAGGAAGTTTACTAGTTGTAAGAGTTTTCTGGTGGAGATTTTGGGTCTTCTATATAAAGGATCACGCCATCTGCAAAGAGATAGTTTGACTTCTTCCCTGCTTGTTAAAAATCACTTTTTTCCCCCTTCCTTGATTGCTTTGACTAAAGTTTCAAGTACTGTACTGAACAGGAATAGTGAGTGGTCATCCTCATCTTTTTCCTTATTTTAGAGGGAAAGCTTTCAGTTTCCCCCACTTATTATGATGTAAACAGTGAGCTTGTCATAAATGGACTTTATCAATTTGAGATAAGGTCCTTTTATACCCCTTTACATCAGGATTTTATCATGAGGGAATGTTGGCTTTGTTAAAGGATTTTTCTGTATCTGTTGAGATGATCATGTGATTTTTATCCTTCTGTTTATGTGGTATATTAATTACACTGTTTGATTTACATATATTGAACCATCCTTGCATCCCTAGGGTGAAGTTAACTTGGTTGCAGTGTATGATCTTTTTAATGACTTGTTGCACTTTGTTTGCAAGTATCTTTTTTTTTTTTAGGATTTTTTCATGTGTTCATTAAAAATTTGTCTTGTAGTTTTCTTTTATTATTAAGTCCTTATCTAGTTCTGGTATGAGGTTAATGATAGATTCAAGGAACAACTTTGGCAGTGTTCCTTCACTTTAAATTACATGGAAGAGTTCGAAGAGTAATGACCTTAGTTCTTCCCTGGTAAAATTCAGCAGTTAGTTTGTTGGGTCCCAGACTTCTCTTAATTAGTAGGGTTTTAATGTTTTTTTTCAGGGTTTTTATATCTTCTTGCTCAGTTTTGCTAATTTATATGTGTCTGTATATGTTTGTTTATATATGAAATGCAATGTATCCATTTCTTCTTGATTCTCTAGTTTATTGGAATGTGTTTACAAAGTAATTTCTTATCATCCTTTACACTGTGGTTATTTCTCTTGTGATTTTGTCTCTTATGTGTCTAATTGCATTGTTATTAGTCTTTTCTTTCCTAAGGGTTTATCAATTTTGTCTATCCTCTCAAAGAACCAACTCTTTGATTCACTGATATTTTGTATTTTTTGTCTCAACTTCACTAATTTCCACATTTATAATTATATTATAATTTCTTAGGCAAGTTTAGGATTTGTATTTTTCTTGTTTTTCTAGGACTTTGAGATTTATCTTTAGGTTATTAATTTGGGATCTCTCTTGTTTTCTAATGTGGGCATTCACA